ATCCCACAACTATTTGCTGCTGCAACATTTAAAGTGATGGACCATTGTAGTTCACCACAGCAGACCCACGTAAATGTAGAAACAACAGAGAATCTTTTTTATGCTTGTGACACCATCTAAAACTTATGGAAATCAAGATCAGTAAATATAGATTTCTTCTCTTTTAAAATCTAGTTGTGAAGAACAAGAATATTGAATTTCTATTTAATAATATTATCATCACAACAAAGTACTATATACATAAAGGTTTTGCTAAATCATGTAAAAAAATCATTTTCTCTTCTTAAAAAACGTATAAAAATGTCACAAGCAAACATCCTTTCTGAGAAGGTGTGATTCTATCTGGGACAGGAAACCTACAGCACTGAGTCTGTCACTGTACTGTAATCTTTAATGCGTTACAAATAAAGTTGTTTTTAAAAGAAAGCCTGGCATTAGAGCAGTCACATTCTCTTAGCACCACTGTTGTCTTTTCCTAAGTCCTCATGAATCCTCCTTCACATCTTTACTTGACCTCAGGACATTTTGCATCATGCTCAAGGAAAAGTGGTTAGAAAAGGACCTATTTTTTTCACTATTCGAGTCTGGCTCGGGTAGAGGTCAGGGCTTCTGTGCAGGCCACTCCACTTCTTCCACACCAAACTGGAAAAAACATTTCTTTGTGGAGCTGGCTTTGTGCAGGGGGGCATTGTCGTGTTGAAACAGAAAAAGGACACAACACAAATAGTTGTAAGAACACTAAATATCAGTGTATGCTGTAGCAGTAAGAAGTAGTATGATAGGTTGCACTGAACCAGCACTCTAAAAATGCTCCAACCAGCTTTTTATTGTGAACATATTCAGCCCTCAGGCTCTTGGTCTGACCTTTCACCGTAGTGTGTGACATATGTGAAAGAGCAGATGATCAGAACATTTACTCAGCAGAGCAGCAAAGTGACTCTTCATCTTGAAAAATTAATTATGACATAAAAACAAAGTCTTGCACCCAGTGAACTGCTGGTCATAAAGCTTAATAATTCAGCAATGCTCCAACAGGGGGCGCCAAACTGTAGATATTGATTGGGCTGAATGAAAAGTACTGCTGGTTGACATTGATTTCAGCAAAAAAAAACAACTCTTTATGTCATTGCAGAGGGATCTGTGCTCTATAATAATGACAAAGTTATATTATCCAAGCAATAACTTGAATAACAGCAGGATCAGTAGCTGTGAGTATGAGTTTCCTGGTTTTTTTTTTTTTAAATCCAAACTCTGGCCTGGCTTTTTGTTGTCATTTTTCCCGTGGCATTTCCCTGACCCCGGGGGCCAAGCTGCTGACCACTGGACTACCCAGCTGTACGAACAGGACAGCGTGAGAGGAAGGCAGCGGGACGTCCATCTGACTGCTGCAATTCTCCTCTGAAAACCCATCACATAAGCTCCTTATGCAAAGCAGAAAACACTGTGTAATCTCCCTCTGTGTCGCTCCCTCTCTCTGTGTCTGAGCTGGTGTCAACACTACTACTACTACTACTAGTTACTCCATTACTCGTAGTCCTCCCTCATTCTTCATCTACTTCACTAACAAATAAGACTTTCAATATTAGGTTTAGTAATACAGTATTTATCTTAAATCCCCCTTAAAGCTTCTCTCCCTCATCAGGGCAGGTTCCAATATTATCATATTGATAAGAGTGAGATAAAGCTCCCTGCCTCACCTTGATGGAGACACCCACACGTAACAGGACACCCGAAATAAAACATTTTAAAAAGCTGATTTCAGGCAAACAAAAGGGTTTAAGTCTGGATATGCAGAGTCTTGCGTATAAAAAGTTGCATTTTGCAGATGTAAAATGTTTGAGTGTCGAGTCAGCTCTCCATTCCCTGCTGTGTGCTGCTTCTTCCATATGTTGTATCACTTCAGACTGTGACAGAGGAGTCCAGACTGTGTGCCACATTCCCTCTGTGAGACGGCCACACATCACAGGCACGCGTCTGCCGGGTATTTTTAACTCTTCATAAACTTTGTTCGCGGTGGTGGAAAGAACATTTACTCATGTAGTTTTTAGGTGGTTATGAAGCAGTCTAATTTTAATACTGATGCCTCTATACGACTTGTGAGCACATGAGAGCCTCAGCGAGAAGAAGCTATTTCTGTATAATGCCTGCTACCAGGTAGGGTTCCCCTTGAAATCAATTAACTATGTGGTAGACCACAGGGGATGCCAGAACCACCAAAAAATTAAAGTTCCTTGTTGTTCCTAAGGTGGTTTCTAACTATATATTTTAACCAGATGACAGATTTCAGTCATCAGAGGACTGGATCTTAAGTTATCAGAGAAACAAGCTGAGCTAACGTTGATGGCCCCCCAGGACGCCCTCTGTGCACCGGACAGCATCAGAGAAACACTGATTTTTAAGGTGAAACTGGTTTATTCTGTGTTTTTACTGCTTTTAATCCCTGGGTCTGTTTGTTTTGGAGAGGATGATACTTAGATAATTGGGCTAACCTAACTTAATCCTAACCGGGAGAAGCTGACTGCAACTTTTCAGATTAAGATTTTACATAAAAAATAAAAGATTATATTGTATAGAATACAATACATTGTTAAATATTAAACCATTTGTTTTCAACCTTTTTGACTGTCTCATTTGGGCCCTTTATCATGTTTCGGATGTCTGGGAGTTGTTAGCAGTTTCACCGAAGAGACATTTCCCCTCTATCAGTCTCACATGGTTTCATTTCAGTAACTGTCTGAGGCCCAAAGAGGTAATATTATCTGTTATTTCACATAATAAATCAAAGATTAGAGAAAAGTCCAGAAAATACAAACTGATTTCTGTATCCAAATTTAGTTTTTCCTTCTTTCCTTCTCCATTAATCGTCTTACAACCAATCCCTGAGACCCTTTGGAGCCTTTGGACCCATGGATTGGGAACCTCTGGGTTAAATGAACCTGTATATCGAGTAGTTCAAACGAGCTCCATCTGAGGCAGCTACAACAGTAAAAAGCTGCTCGAACATTGATGCATAAATATTAACAATCTAGTTATGTCACATGATAGAATCAGATATCAGTCACAGACATTTTACTGCAGAGGGACTACTTTTTGTTGATGCACTTTTACTGAAGTAATGGATATGTACTCCTTCCACCACTGTTTGTTTATCCACTGTCAGTATTGTGTTCTGGTTTTTATTGTCTTAAAGTCTGTTTTACATTTTATAAGGATTCTTGACCCGACTTTAAACCCTTTATTAGATTAAACTGTTAATCAAATGTTTTGGAGTTGGAATTGGTTTTCTGTTTCAAGTACCATGTGTTCTGGTTTGCTGTATTACTTTTTAGTACATACACCACATCCCCGATGTCACTAGTGTTATCTTTCATTTCCCTATTAGGTTTGACCTGAGGTTAAATTCTGCACAGCTGAGGCCGGCCCTGCATGGGCGTAGTTTACTCCAGTACTGTACTTTAGTATATTTTCTTTTTCTGCTGCTTTGTACTTACTTACTCTACCACATTTCAAAGGCACGTATGGTACTTTTTACCACACTATCTCCTCCTCCTTCAGAGTTCAGATATCCACGAATTGTTGGTTCCACCAAAGTGACAGTTCTCATATTTCATTTAAATAGCTGTTCAAATTGTCCCATATTTCACAACAAGAAAATATAAGGGAAATGTACAAAGTTAAATGCAGATTTTTGTGTCAGAGCTTTGTTTTTTCTTCTCTCCTCTCTCATTAATCATCTCATGACCACTCCGAGTTAACTGGGGGCCTTTTAGAGGGGTCTGACCCCCTAGATTGGGAACCACTTGGCTAAAAGTATAGCTCCACCTTGAGCGGCTTTAAAGTCAAATGTATATATATAATATATATAATATATAATACTAAACCATACAAATACATTTTAATGATAAAATAAAGTCGCCTACTTTACTTTTATTTTAATTTGAACTCCCTCTTATTAGCATGGCTTTAAATGTTCTTATCTTTACCTCCATTGTTGTATTTTGTTAAGGTGCAGCACTTTAAATGCCTTTCTTGTATAAGCGGTGATACAATGAAACAATATTGAATTAGTCCACTGATGTTTCTGTCTAATAATAGTGAACCAACTCCCTCACTCCTCCGCTCCTGACCCAGAATAAAACCAGTATTACTTTAAATATCCCAGCCGAGCCATTTGCTCCGCGCTGACGTAACGTGACGTAGCCTAACGCACGTACAGTGGAAACTGAAAATAGTGAACGGGGGAGAAAACAGTTTGTACGTCCTCTGCGTAAAACCCTTCTCCAAACTCTCAACGTGCGCTCGTGCGAAAGTAAATTTCTGTGCGTGTGCTGCTACCGTGCCTCGCGCGCCACACCGACTGTAGCTGTCACTGTACGTCACTCCTCCCCTCACTGTAAACATCGTGTTCCTCCGCCGTGAGCACATAAAGTAGGGCGGCGGCGGGGGGCGGGCGGGGCCTCATCGCTCATTTGACACCCGGTGAAAGTGCGACTGAAGCACCATCAGCACATCATATTAATAATTACAACATGTATATAAACAAATAAAGGAATTATGTTATATTTAAGCTCATAACTGCCCGAATAGAGCAAACAATAGATACTGTATAGTGGCTACTATCTGCCCTGCTGGGTAAACTTAACGCTTAATATCTCTGCCAGGGGGTCTACACGATTACATTAAGTCTTTTATATAATATAAGTGTGTTGTATTTGTATAATTGTACTATACAAGATTTTATATATTTTTTTAAAGTAGGTTATTGCGTACCTTTACAGAAATGAAACTACCTCCGCGCTCACTGTGAGCTCTGACTGTGAACATTTAAAAAACAAAAAGCAGTTTGAAGTGAGTCGCTGCTCTGGAAACATGACAAGCGGAGGGATATAAACTCTTAACACATGATGTCGCCATCAGCCCTTCCTACTTCACAGCTCACCTTCCACCAACTCCGCACGGACTATTTGATTGGTCGAAGCGGCGCGCACAGCTCGCCCTCATTGGCCCGCGCTCCCGTCAATCATAAAGCAATGCCACAGGATAGATTAGGCACCATTTGCCATAACTAAATAGTTACCTTGTACATCAAGTAGGAGGATTTTTTTTAATTGGTAGCCCACCGCGGTCGGCGGAGAGTTACAGTTCGTTCTTCGCTGAAAAGCTTCCGTGCGTTGTGAATGCAACAAAGTGTGACGTTTGAATCTCCCGTCTCATCAAACAGATGTGGATACACTGCTCGGGTAAGTCACTCTTCACCAGCCTTGTGTCCGCATTTCACGTTTGCCACATTGTTTTTGCCTCTTCCTGTGTTCGGGCACTTCTGACAACTGTGCGTCCGGACGCCGTGGTGCTGTTGTCGGGATGTATTTGCATGTTTCGCTCGGAGTTGTTACCCGGCACAGTGTGGTTGTGGTTGTGGTAACTCTGAGGAGGCTCTGCACGGTGCTCCCTGAAAAAGCCCCCCCCCACTGTTCTGTGTCAAGGACACGCGGTGCTTCATGTAGTTTGTTAAGTTCACATCAGCATCGCAGTTAAAGCTTTATTCCCGCGGTCTGCGTGCGCGTTTCCGCCGCTCAGACCTCCCGGTAAAGGAACAGCCCGCAGCCGGTGGGTCTGAGCGTTGTGCGCAACAGTAATAACACTCCATTAGGAGCTGTCACTAACGATTTACGACAAGTGTCAGCCTGCTTTTGACGCGATTTCTCTTCATTTCTGTAAATGGATTTCATCTCAGAGAAAAGCACGTCTGGTTTATGGGCAACTTTTATCGCGCCATCAATTTGGCTGACGCGTTAAATGACAGGTTTAAAAGTGGGCAGAGAGAGAGAGAGAGAGAGAGAGAGAGAGAGAGAGAGGGAAAACTGAAGTGATTGGTGAAATTGTGTTCATTTATAAAATAACACATTGGAGGCTTTTCCTCATATCCTTTAAGCTATTGTGTCTGTCGAATCATTTTATGTCTCTTTCATGAGCCCATTTCCGACAATTGTGCTCTCATTGCTGTGCGTAATTGCTTTTCTCCCGGGAGAGAGAGTGCCATCAAACTTCTAATTTCCTCCTCCAACCCGGAAACCATTTTGCTCGTTGGAAGCAGCCCTGTAATGATGGCATCAATAAACCCGAATAAAACTCCCGTCAAGTTAGCTCTGAGATTTTTTTTGGAATGATAAATGTCCTTTCCGTCAGGTCCCCCCCCCCCCCTCCTCCCTCCACATCCAGCATTGGTTTTGGCAGCATCTCAGGGAGGCAGGTGCCTGGGATCAAAGGGCAACAAGACAATGAGAATATGTCTCTGGAGATGAGTCTGTCTTGTCAGGAGGCAGGAGGAACTGTTATCTATTACATCATTATCTAGTGCAGCGAGGGATGTACTGCAACGTGGACAGATGAGCGTTTCAGCAGCGCCTGCAGGTAAAGTCCAGGTTGCCAAAAAGGTGTCACAGGATCCCGAGGGAGACAGTCCAGATAAGGGTGCTGCTGAGCGTCCCAGCAGTCAGAGGAGAGCAGATTAGCGATTCTATATGGGAGTATTTAGCTGTGCGGCTCAGTGTAACCACAGATGAGTTTGTCCAGATAAGACGGGTAATGTAATGGTGAGGTGGACAATAAACCGGAGAGGGTGGTTGCAGCGTGCAGGAGGAGTTTGCAACCCTAACAGACGAATGTGTCCTGCAGAAAGGCTCCTGAATCTCTCAGTTCAAGCAGCATCAGATAGGACAGCTACAAATACCCAAACTGTAAATATTCATTGAGGAATTGCGATTTTAAAGATTCCTGTGTTGGCTGTCTCGCCAGGCTGAATCGCAAAGTGAGGTTGCATCCGAGGAAGTAACAAATTAGAGGTCTGAAGTGAAATCAGAGCTGTCTCCTAGAATCAGAACGTCGTCCAGAGAGAAAACCAGACTTGCCAACATCAGATCTTTTCCTCCCCTCGTCTCACCGCTTCCCTTTGGTTTAAAGCTCAAAATCTTCAATCTGACGCCTGTTTGAAAGTTTGCCGCCGTTTGAAGAGGCCCGGCACGTAGCAGCACCGGTTAAATTCACATAAAATACACGCAATGTTTTTGTCAAATTTCACCATGGAGACAGGTTTATGTCAGCACCTTTTTTTTTTTTGTGTGTGTCTGAGTTGTGAGCGAGCGTGGGTTTTGCACTGACAAACAAAAATAAACGCTCTGTTGTTCCTGACGTTGTCAAGATGTCAGAGCTAATGGGAGCTCTGCCCCCCCTCCCCCTACACACACATCACCTTATCTTATCCTCCCTCCCACTGTGAGTGTGACCATGCCGACTCTCTTGTATCGTGGCCTCAATTGTAGCGTTATTGAAGGCCCGTATCACCGCCATCATCTCCATCAGCTGGTTGTTGGACCGCTGAGCATCTGATAGCGCGCTTTAAGATCTGATATCTCTCTCCTTACGTTACATTCATGCAGCCGTCTCTGGAGGGCTCTCCCTTTCCCTCGTGTACTCACACAGGAACACAATCCATAAATTGAACAAAATATTGTAGCTGGACTTGTTCAGTGAAAAGGGGCTTAAGCTGCAGATAACTTATGGGCTCAGCTCCAGTAATGGGCTTTTGTGTCCCTGAGAACCGTGACTGCAGGCGAAGCTGTACGCCACACTCATCGACAGAGTAAAGCTCCACGCCAGGACAAAACTTAAGGAGACAGGTTTTTTTTTAATAGCGAAAGTAATCTCGGAATTAATTCTTCCGAACATCCATCCGCATTCACAGAGTTTGTGAGGAAACGGGACCGGGTTTTGGTTCCCTCAGCCATGTGCTTCATCGTGTGCTCTGTTGGCTACAGTCAAAACACAGTGGGGGGAAAAAAAAACCCCAACCCCTCCTCTCCCTCCTTGCTTCTGTTAATTTGAGGAAGTACAATCATTCTCTCCTGCCACAAGCTTCCTGCTGAATTGCAAACACAGGCAGTGAGCCGTCGTGCTCTACAGACATTACAGAGAGCGTCAGTGTCTGTCAGAGGCATGATGACTGAGTGCACGGCCGTGTAGTCTCTTCTGTGTAACAACATGTAAAAGTTCAGTTTGAGGTTTTTCAGCATGTGTACTAAAGGCTCTGATCGCACCAGCGTTCAGACTGCAACTAACAATCACCGATGAATCTTCTGATTGTTTGTCTTACTTAATCAATTTCTCATCTTTTCCGTCTCTCAGTCCAAGGTGACGTCTTCAATTGTCTTGTTTTGTTTGGCCAACAGCAGAAAACCCATTTATATATTTGATTTACTGTAATATGACAGAGGACGGCCACAAATCTTCTCTTTGGAGAAGCAGTGACTGGCACTTTTGCTTGATAAATGACTGAAACAATTAATTGAATATCAAAATATATACAGTATATCACTCACTGACCTTGATTTTGACTGTTATATTGGTACTATTGGGTTCCAGCCAGTTCCTGTTTTGATCACTAAGACTTATTTGTCATCTCCTCTCTCTTTTTTTTAGCTTTTTAAGGAGTATTCATCGATGTTGGCCTCAAAGTACTAGATCCAACTCCAAAACAAAAAAACAAAAAACTCTATCTGCTGAGGAAGATCATGTAAGACTGAAAGCTAAAGAACAGCTACTAATGGACCATGTGGCCAGATGTTAAATCCAGGTTGTCAGTTAGAGAAAATGTTATCTATCTGGTAAAAAGGATTCAATCTCTTCATTCTTGCTTTTGGTTTAAGTTATGGGTTTTGTTACTAAACTCACTGTAAAGAGAATTATATGCAGTTTTGACACCGGTTTCAAATTGGATTGGTCCATTACTTGATTAGTCCTTTGATTGATTAGTTGAAAAACAGAAAATTTATCTTTAAAGTTATTTATCAAGTGAAAAGGAAGAAAATATTCTCTGACTCCAGCATCTTTGACATGAGGATTTGCTGCTTTTAATATTATTTGGAATTAAACCTCTTTGTTTTTTTGGACAAAACAAGGGATTTTTAAGACATCACTGGGAGCATGTGATAGACATTTTCACTGTTTTCTGACATTTATAGATTAAATGATGAAGCGCAGCAGAACACCAACCCTAAATATGGCTGTTGGTTGTGTGAAAGCTGACACACTCGAGTAGAGATGGTCTGCAGAGAGTAGAATAAGGTCCAAACCATTCGTTTGAAATAAACTAAAGAGCCAGTGAGCAGTGACACATTAATTCCCTGACAGATTTTTCAGAGCTCTCCATTAGCCCAGACCCTCCAGACTTTCACAGTGGAACCGGGTACTTTGGCGTGCACTGTAATTTTAACTGGGGTCTAATTTTCACCAATCAATTTGTTTGTTGGCCGGGCCGAGTATTGATGGGATTTAATCACTGCTGAAGCCCCGGCTGCATTAGCCAGTGAAAGCTGAAAATGACATCAGCGCGCTTAGTTTTCTATTCTAACACCGAGGAAAGCGGACAGTAAGGAAGGAAGAAAAGTGGTGAGTGTTAGGGCCGAATAGAGGTGAGCTGAGCTACTGTATCCACCGGTTCTGCAGGGTGAGTCACCTGCCACCTCATTGATTGGGCTGTTTACCTTTTCAACTCAGCCTTGTACAATAAAGCAGCCTTAGTGGACATGTGTTTTCCGTGTGCTCGCCTGCAGCTGACCCGTGTTCTCAAAGCACTACGGCAGAAAAACCCTTCTTGTAAGCCGGGTTAGACGAGCATGCCCCCTTCGCTGCTGTCAAACTGAAAGCCTCGCACCGCAAGACGTGGTCCTTTTCAAATGGACGGAGCGTTTCAGCAGAAAGGAGCAATTACTACCTGCTCTGGTCGTGTTGCTTTCATGGCCTCTTTTGTGTGCTGATTCCAGGGCAGATTTTGTCCGCGGCTGTTCCCACGCTGAGCGAGGAGAACAGGAAGAACTCAGCCGCGCAGCAGGCCTCTGCCTTCTGCTATTATGGCTATGATTCAATCATCGCAGGGCAGCGCTTTACCCCAGCACACTGAAAGAGGGAGAGAAACGTCCTCACTACCTCTCCGTTAATGGAACTTAAAGCCAAAGGTGTTTTTGTGCAAAGAGGAGACCATCAGCCACTTAATGTGGGAAGTAGCAGCAGCAAGCCTCACCTCACAATCCACTCTCCCCCTACTGTGCTTTCAAAATGGCCTCCCTTCTGTGCTTGCAGCCAGAGAAGCACCACGCAGAGTGGAGGAACCAGACCGGGCGAGATTTGCCTCTCCTGGTGCTGCTCATCACACCTACTGTTTGTTTTCTTTGGCCTGAACCAGAGT